GTCCTAGCAGACCACCACTTAAGTATGAGCCAAAAGCGTACAACAGCTGCCAAAAAAGCTAATGCAGTCCTAGGTAGCATCTATTTTTATTTTCAGAGTATATCCTCTTATCCAGATGAGCTGTATATAATGATGAAAACTTTGGATTATGTACAATTCATTAAATTTCTACTAAATATTTTATCATGCATTTCTATTTAAACAACTCCAAGAGGTTCAAATACCTACCTAATTAACTCATCTATTGAAAAAATAAACTCAGCAACAACTCTGATGTTCCATATACACTGTAAATGAACTCGTTTAGATAATTGTTTTATTAATTTCCCTATAAAGAGTGTTAGATGGTGAGAACTAAATGGTTCCTATTCTCCTTTGTATTTGACCCCAGTTTCTGATTCAGGACATGATAAATTGCTTGTTTGAATTGATTAGCTTTTAAGCAAAACTTGAGTTAATACTTACATTTTAGAATAAGTTGTTCCTTATTCTAAAATTCTTTATTAACTCACATGACCTTTTCTGTTATTTTTCACACACTGCATTAATTGTAAGATCAGAACATTCTTTTCACTATATAGTTAAAACATTGCAATGCAAGTTCTCAGATATTCTATTTGATGTCTGCAACATATGGGAGCATTTGTTTTATGATCTTTCTTCAAAATGTAATCACTTTTTTTTTTTGCTGATTACATATGTTTGGCATGGTGCTTTTCCTTCGAGATGTGAAAGAAGTTTGGGCAGCCTCCAAGTCTAAACACACCCTAATTTCAAAAGCCACAATCCTGAGGCTCAATTCCTGTTTACTAAGGAATTCAAGTATTGTTAGACTGCATAGTTACTGAACATATTGTAGTCCTTTGGTCTGTTATCCTGCAGCAAAGGACCCTAGTTTAGGCCTATTAATCTATATGATTTTGAGATAGTGAATATATTTTTATCTAATCATTTATACAAGTTTCTATTAAGATTTCATTTGAAAAAGTAGACTATCATTTATTCAAGGAGAACATTGTTATCATTACTTTCCTTTGATGAAGTTTTATGCGTATTGAACTAATATTTAAGATGGACAACTCAATATACATACTGTCATATTTCAATTGTATAATATCTTTCTTTGGGCTCAATCTAGGAGTCATCCTGGATTCACAGCTAAGGCTTTTGTACAGTTTCATCTGTTTAGCCAGTTGCACCCTTTCCTGGATCAGGAGTTTTCTAGATGGTCCTTTCACAGTCATAAAATTGCAATATGCTGTACATACAGTGCCACTGAAGATTACTTAGAAGCTGCAACTGATTCAGAATGCAATGGCATTAGCACAGCCTTTGTATGCCCACATGATTCCATTGCTCCACAGGCTGAACTGGTTGCCACTGAAGTTCCAGGGATAATTCAAGGCATTGATATTGTGCTACGAAGTCCTTCCTTTTATGCCAAGAAGGACTTCATAAGAGGATTATAGAACATCTTTGTTCATCCAGTAAGATCAAAATTGGTGCAATTCAAGTCCCCTCAATCAAACAATGTCATTTATCAGGACCCAGGAGACCTGTCTTATCTGGATTAAGATTCCCACAGAGATCTACTTGGCCCCCACCATAATGATGTTCTACAAGTTTTTAAAAGCCTGTTTGTCCTTCCAAACCTTGAGTTGTTATTTTTTTTATAGTTGTCCTGTTTTAAATGTAAATGACTCAGAATCATTTTGGAGTTAGATGACTTCTAAAATACATAAATATCTGAAAAAAAACCTTTGTTTTCCCATTGTTAAAATGGTTTGACATTTTTTAAAATTATTATTACTTAGGAAACTCCCTATAATTTTAAATGTATGTATGCTCATTGACATTTTACCTACCGTGATATTGCATACATTTTAATATTTTTATTGTTGATCATCTTGCTGTTTCCTTATTTTCGAAAGCATTTGGAAAGTTTTAATCTTACAAAATGGGTAATTGGCCATCTTTTTACTATAGTAGGGTTTACAAAGATTAACATAAATCCTAGGATTTGCCCAAACATTTAGTCATCTGTAGAAACATAAGAGTGTCAAATGAACGCTCGCCCAGTTAAACTAAGCTGTCATTCCTACTACTGTTTTCTCTCCTCGATGATAAAAAAGAATAATAATGCATTAAATGACCACTACTGCTTCTTTATGACTAACTAAACTAACTAAATTCCAGGTGTCTAAATAGCCACTTCATTTTGGCTAATGAAAGAAATCAAACCATTACTAGCTTCTGATTTTTTACTTAGAAAGCCTCTTATGCTAAATAATCAACTTGCTATGATTTCATGAGATGTCTGAATCAATGAAAGATTATAGACAAAGCAATATAGGAAGAATTCATGTTTCATGTTAACACAAATTTTATTTTATTTATTTTTATTTTATTTACTTATTAGATTTTTTTGGAACCCACTCGAGGCAACTCTGGGCAGCCTACAGCAATAAGACCCAGTAAAACCATAAACAAAAAAAAATTATAATAACAGTAAAGATTACAGTTAAAAATATGGGGAGGAAGGGAGCAGGATGCACAGGGGGGAGAAGAAGAATCTTCTCTTAATTTGTCAACCACTTCCAACTGGCAGAGCCAGGTCTTCATATTAATTCATATTAAATTTGCACTACAGCATCTAAACTGAAGAAAAGTATTACATTTTCTAGACCAGTGATGGCGAACCTTTTAGAGACCAAGTGCCGAAAAACCGCTCCGCCCACTGCCCACTGGGCCACCCACCACCTCCACAGCCCACTGCAGATTGCTCAAGCGGCCCTGCAGCGCCATGGCAGCCATGCCCTCTGCCCACGCCCCGCAGCATCATTTGCGTGCGAGGGGGCGCGAGGGGGGAGTCTTGCCTCTGCTGCCCAGCTGCCATGCCTTTGGCTGCGCTGCTCCACACGGGCTGCACCTGGGGGCGGCTCTGCTCCAGGAGGGCTTCTGATGAGGAGGGGGCCACGAGGGAGGCGGGGCTAGGCCAATGGTGAGCGTGCCCACAGAGAGGGCTCTGAGTGCCACCTCTGGCATGCATGCCATAGGTTCGCCACCACTGTTCTAGACAGAAGAGAACTAGATAGGGAAAAGACTATGAAGTAGTGGGGAAAAGGCAAGAAATAAATGATGGTATTGTTATATTATTGAAAAACATCAATTAATCATTCATTTGTGGTCTCTGGAAGGAATTTGATAGAATTACAGAAGAAAGTTCTATATATTCGGGGGTTTTCCCAGTAGACACTGATTATAATAAGAATTCTCAGGAAAAGAGACAGTACCTGTAAGTACAATGCAAACAGACTTGTTGCATAGATGTAGGTGTCAACTCTCCCAGGCAAACCAGACATGAAACATGACAAGATGAACTAATTCTATTTTATTGTAAGGCTGCTTAACAGAATCTTGCAAGTCTGAAGACACAGACTTCCTTCCTCCACTTTTAACTACTTGATCCATTGGGCAGGTCTTTCCTGAGTTCCTTTTGCAGACCATTAAGTGATTGTGGGACCTGCCTGCCTTGTCTGATTGATTCCTCTTCTCTTTCCCCAAGGTCATTCATACATTCCATTACATCCAGAAAGAATATTTAGCCTTGTTGCAAATTTGTTTCTCATTTACAGTGTTTTATTTCTATAGATGTATACCTTGTTATTAAAAATAGTAGGTTTATTATCCTTATTTATAGTCAGATCAAACAGATCATGGGAAAGTAGAACAAACCAAGTTGAGACTTTGGTCATAATGTCTATTCCATTTCGATTATGTATGTAATGAATGTGTGTGTGTGTGTGTGTGTGTGTGTGTGTAGAGAGAGAGAGAGGGAGGGAGGGAGAGAGGGAGAGAGAGAGAGAGAGTATTTGGGGGTAAGATAATGTGTTACTCTTTTTTTATTAGTTTCTTTCACTAAACTGCATTTATTACAGTCAGATAAGGGGGTCAGCCAAAAAGAAGTCCTGAAATTGGCTTTGTTAGTCACAGATATAATTCTGCTGCAGGAGATAATACCTGTAAAGAACTATATCTTTAAGAACAGCCCTAGATTTATGGACTCTGAAGACTGCCTTCCAAGATGTTTTCATCAAAATGTTTTGGTTTCTAATGTGAAGTATAACAAATAGGAAACTGTAAAAGAATATATAGTAATCCTGCATTCTGTTTGTTCTGAATTATAATTAGTTTTCACCCAGCAGGTTTCTATTTAACTTATTTCAATGTATCATTTCAAAGATGTGTCAAATGTAATCAGGAGCTAATGAAATTTTATGTGAACCATCTGCTAAATATTCCTTTGATACAATGTCTTTGAGGGGAGAATTCCTCTTTTTTATTTCCTATATATACAGTGTATTTAGCTTAGGTTTTGAAAAGGAAAGAAGAAAGGAGTGATATGTAGCCAAAATTATCTTTAAAGGGTTTTGTCTCGTTACCCAAATAATATGTTACAAAATTCTGCTTGCATCAGAAAGATCCGGTGAGAATAATAAGTTATCCATTTCCTGGACATGTTCATATTGATGTTTAGAATCACATTTTCTGCCATATCCTAGCCTGCTTTTGCTGTTGTACAACATGCACACAGGTATCTTCTCAAATCGTGCCTCATACACCCAAATCCCTGCATCAGGGAGGTTTTCTGGCTCACACTACATTCGATGCTATGTGGAAACTTGTGTTTGATTTTAAGACTCAAAACTAGACATATTTTACTAAGAGATTAGAAGCCTTCAAGATGTTTGCTTGTTTTTCTCCCAAATAATGGTATAAACAACATTTCCACCATGATGTATGAATATGTAGTAATCTAACTGATGCAGAATAATAACTTCCAAGCCTACTTGTTATTGTTCGTGACACTGATCCGAATCAGAGGAGAGGAATGCTTAATCCTTTGCCATCTCACCAAAGCTTCATCCAGATATGTTGTAATCAGGAAATAATTAAAGGTTTGAAAGCTAGGTTTTTGTATTGTGAACATCAAAGGCGAAATGAGCTTTAGTCTCTTTCAAATCTCATCGTTTGTAAGAGCCCGGCTGGGTCTTACCTAGTGCACAGTGGGTAAAAATCCAAATAGTAAGGCATGAAAACTATAATCCACTATTATTTGTAAGAGATTGATACTCAGAATCATATTATGTTGATTCTGGAGTTAGTAGATAAGTTTTGTAATCACTGGACACTAATTACATTTAGCTTTGGTCAATTTGCTGTGATGTCTATTCACGATAGAGCCCATTGCAAATTCTGTAGTTGAAACTTGGGGGCCTTTCCAAATCCTATAGTTTAACTGCAGGTTTCCTCTAAATTCTCCCCATTTAGCTTCACTGAATATCAGAATTTTAGCATTATAAAAGAGAGATAAAAATTATTTCCCAAGTCTAATCTTTGCTTGCATAAAGGTCCCAGATTCCTTCAGTAATCCAATATAGAGAATAGTTCTTCAGGCTCAAAGAAGACACTCTGTTGTGCAGTTCATCAGTGGACATAGAGGTAACTCTGCTGCCCCAGTCCAGAAGTCCAAAATCTAGCACAGTGGGGGCCCTGGAAGCAGTGGTGGGATTCAAATATGTGAACAACCGGTTCTCTGTGTGGATGCTGCTTTCGGAAGTCCATTCTGGGCCTGGGCAACAAAAAATTAGCTACCGGTTCTTCCAAACTGGTGCAAACTGACTGAATCCCACCACTGCCTGGAAGTCCATTTTGTAGTAACCGTGGATATTATTTTAAGACCACTCAAGGTTTTCTATTAGTTTTTTGTGGCATCTTTTTTCAAAGTTGGTGGCGTCTTCATAGCATAGGGCTCGCCAGTGGCTTCTGTCTGCAGTTATAGTTGCCAGTTCCCTTGGTTGGATGTCACAGTGGTGTACAGTTTCTTTTACAACTTCTTGGTAGTACTTGAGTGGTTGACCTTGAGGTCTCTTCCCAGATTACAGTACACTATGCAGTAACTGGTGAAGCATACAGTCATTATCCACTCTGAATACGTGTCCACCCCTTCTCATCTGGGCTTTGATAATCAGTGTCTCAGTGCATAATACAAGACATTTAGGTTGAAAACACAGCCTTATTAACTAATGCCAAGGATAGACTGGAGAGCAAACCTGCTTCACACTTCAGAAAAAGACATATAAATGGCCCTACAAAAAAGAGGGTCAGGCTTTGAACTATCACATCAGCAATGGACAATCCTGAATAGGATTTGTACCTCACACAGAGTCTGCTGGGACTCTCTGTATAAATGGGGCATAGTGTCCTCCCCTTAGTGTGACTGTGGGATCCCACATCAAATGGTAGGTCACATCATAATCAGCTGTAAGCTGAGGGTCTATATATCGGTCTAGTATTTGATTTTTTTTAATATAAACAATGTTGTGTTTCAATGGTTAGATGGCCTAGATGCTGATATTTGAACATAAATCTTTTTTAACATTTATATTTATTGGCTTCTACTATGTTAATATATATTGCTAGTCCATATATGATATGCCATGGGCTAAATAAATAAATGCAATTATGAACATGGTATCTTTGAGCTGTATGAAATAAATTTGTAATATCGGTCTCTTCGTGGGCCCTTAAAATATATCTGTTTTGGAAAATAATGAAAGATTGATTGGTGCAATTTAATTTCTTTAGATATGTTTATTAAGGCTTCTGACATTTCTGAGACTGTATCTATAACCAAATCTGGAGGAAAGGCATGGATAGATACTAATTTATAGAGATCCTGTTGGTTGATTGCATGGCATGTTATAGGGAATATGGTTCTCTGGAGCCATAGGATTTTTTTTATTTTCTATTTTTTAGTATAAGCTGCCGAGAGCAGGGGTCCCCAACTTCTGATGGCTACCCAGTATTGAGCCATGGCCTGTTTAGGACTGGGCTACAGAAGTGGCAGGCGAGTGTGTGCACGCATGCACTCTATTTATGCAAGTAGTGAGCGAGCACGCACACAAAAAGCTCCATTTGTGTGTGAATAGCAGGTGCGCGTGCCTCCCACTTGATGTTCTGTCCCCCGTCCGACTCACCCCCCCCAACCAGTCAGCCGAGGGCTGAAAAATTGCTCAGCACAGCCAAATACAGATGAACACTTGGCAGCAACTCCGTGGCTGCCTGCCAAGGCTTTTACTGATAACACACTACAAACATACGATAAGTCCAGGATAAATTGCCGGAGTGCTGCAGCAGGAGATTCAGCAAAATTGTTCATCACAAAAGTTTCAAACGGCACACCCCTTGCTTATATAGCCTTTGGGGTGTGGCCCAGTGACTCAGCTGAAATCTCTGGCACGGTGTTTCAGCTGCTGCGCACGCTTGTCCCTCCGACGCTGGCGTGGATCCAGCCAAGACGTATCCTCCTCGGAGTCTGATACACCTGGCTCCTGGCCGATCCCAGAAGCACCGGGCTCCTGGCCAATCCCAGAAGCACCAGGCTCCTGGCCAATCTCCTCTCCGTCGGAAGGCACCGAAGGCCGCACCAGAGGGGAAGGTCCTGGAGAGGGAGGTCTGGCCATCTCCTCTCCGTCATGTTCAGAGCCTTCCTCCTCTGATGAGAGGGACCCACAGGACGGAGCCACAACACTTGCGTAAATGGAGCTGCGCATGCATGTGTGCTTGCCTGCCACTTGCATGGAACCATTCCCTCTCCCCCCCCTCCCTCACCAATCTACAAAGCCGGAAAGCTTGGGGACCACTGGCCTAAAGTCATAGAGTTGGACAACATTTAAATCTAATAAATAAACATTTATAAGCAAGCAATGAATGCCTTTTTGACACAGGCCTCTAGGGAATCAGTAGACCTGTTATTTTGCTTACTCTGGAGACTTTCCAGGTCCATATACATTAGAAGCAATGCTGTCTGCCATTAGCCTGGATTTTCAATGATAACTTGCCTTTCTCTCCCATTATCATCCTGGGAGCTCCTCTGCATGAATTAAAAAATAACAGGGAACTACAGAACTGAATAATATGTCATTTTAAAGAACTATTTCATAGAGGGCATACCTTCTTTTTGCTTACACGTGTGCTGCTTATTCATTTTGTTCCAGATGGGGATTTGGGCAAGCGGTTCATTGTTCAGAGAGTTGCTTGATCTTTTGTAACTCTACTTTTGATTGGCTGCAGTAAATCTCAGAAAATCTAACAAGATTTGGACAGCCACTATAGAAACATGGATTTGCCAAAACATCCTCAAGCATTAATTTAGCATAATTTTTCCCATGTGGCCTGCAGCTCTTGGACCTCTCAATCTGGCAAAGTATCTCCTCCACCCCCACCCTTACCACTTCCCAGGATTGTGTCTTGCATGCTGATAGTTGCTGGCAGTGACATTTAGTACTTCGTGCAAGATTTTCAGTGTCTGATTTCTTTGTGAATAACTAATACATTGCTGTAACTATGCATATTTGGGGAAATAACACAGAGTCTTGCACAATTATTTTGCTCTAACACAGAGTCTTGCACAATTCAGAATATTTTATATTATATTAGAAATCTGACACTTCTATACCATAACGTTTTCAAATATTTTGTATTGGGTATGGTCGTGTTTTATTCAATTAGTTTTCATAAATAGACCCATTATCTCATTTGTTGTCTAATTATGAACATTGTCAAAGTCTACTACCACAGTTCCTACTTGTTCTTCAGCTTAGAATTAAAACTCAGTTGAAATATCCTTCTCAATTAGATGTTAGAAATCTGCTGTACAATATTAAATTGTGCAAAAACATTAAAGATTTTGCCACAGCTTCCTTTTTTAATGCATAAGTTACAAGTTTGATAGTTTAAGAGCTAGGGCTATGGTGAGAGCCCAAGCTATATGCCTGGATTTCAATTTCAGAAGGAATGACATGTTTATATATAATCATTAAAGTTCTGTGAAGGGAATTCCATTTAGGAAAAATTCTTTGAAAATACTTCAGTCTTTAAAATAACAATCTCTGTCTCTCAAACCAACCCGTCTCACAGGAAAGGTGTTATTGTGGGCAAAATAGGAGGCAGGACCATTGTAGTATGCACATTGCTTTGAGCTGTACAAAAATAAAGGTGGGATGTAAATACATTAATAACATTTATTCTTTACCTAGAACAGAATACTGCTGAAAGAAAATAGCATCTCCTAATCATACCTGTAAAGCAGTCATTTTCAATTTGGTATATTACAGACGATAAGTTGTAGAATGCTTTAATGGAATTTTCATTGCATTGCTTTGATCTCAAAATAGATTTTTGTGTAAAAATACATTTTGGTATCCTTTGTATACAGTTAGTTGGAGAGACAAAATCAAGTTATTAATAAAAAGGCAATTAAGAATTACTGCAAAAATCATCCACTACAAGTTTGGACTCAAATTCCCATGTCTATTTCTGTTTAAATGGTGCCCTCTAAACCGATTGAATCTCCCATAACTAAAGTCATCTTGAGTGTGGATTGAAAATAATTATGCCTTTCTTTAAAAAGTTTTTCTCTCCCTTTTCTATTGAAAAAACAAAAAGTGGCTTTGTAGTTCACATATGCATCAGCTTAATCCATGCTCGAATAAAATGACTTATTGAAAATGTTTAATATCATAACTATGTAGGTTTTTATTTAGTGATAGTTGTCTGAATAAACATTTCATGTCTAACATTATTTCATGAACTAAGTTTATTACATATTTATGTTAAATATTGAATATCTTTCTGTATAAATAATTAAAATAAATTGAAGTAATTATAATTGAATGGTTATAATTGAATTGTAAGCATCATTTAATTTCCTAGGTAATTATTTATGCATATGAGTATGTATTTCTTCCATTCACAATTTTCTTTATATTTTTTAATCTTTTTTCAAGAGAGCACAATCTGATGAACTGGAAAAGATAGAAAAGCATGGCAAATCAAGTAAAGAAAAGGAGAATGCTAAATCTTTGGACAAACCTGAACAGTAAGGATACTATAAACCATCTACACTTGCTGGAAAGAGTCAAACTATTAACTTTTTAGTTCAGGTTCAGATACAACACACATTGTTCTAATCGAAACAAATAATTAACCAGTTCAAGTACATATAAAAACCATGAGGTTCAGTTCCACTTTGTTTGAGAAAACTGGATTACGATGTCCTCGCGCTATTCTGGTGATTTGTATAATAGTGGTGTCCTCCTATTTTCCCAATTCTTCTTCCAGTAGATGAATTTACTACAAGTCCTTTGGTTTGTTTGCTCCTCCCCAGAAAGAACTATTTGCTTGTTCTTCATGAGAATAGGCTTAATTTGATCATTATCCCTGCTTAGCTATTTTTCCATAACCTTGATACTTCCTGGTCTCTTGCACATTCTTTGGATTTACATCTTAATCCCTACTTCAAATGTACTCCATTTAGCTTTGTACATGTGTGTGTGTGTGTGTGCGTGTATAGTAACTGCACTTACAGACATAACATTCGATAGACACCAAATATATATTTGATGTCACTTTTCTTATAATGTTAATTCATATCCCGAGCTCCCTGATTATATGCTAAAAATATCATGTGAAATAGCTCAAATCTGCTCAGGATTTTTGTTAATGGAATATCCCAGGACATTTAGTATTGATTTATATTTTCAGGCAAAGATGTATGTATATGTACGCATATATGTGTGTACTTTTGCATTGACCAGTCCTCTATCAGGAGGGAGAAGTAAGATTTTGCAGCAATCTCTGATGACTGTCCCCATCTTCTTCAAGAAGAAGTATATAAACCTGTACAGACCCCAAGTATACTCATTTATCTTTTTATTTATTTTTTTTCTACTGCTGATGAGTGAATCACATTCAATATCTGAACCAAAATTTTGAGCCCCAGTAACAGGATAGCAGTATTAGTCACTTTTTTGAGGACCTAAATCTTTTCAAGGGACTTGTATTTTAATAGATCTTCTCTTTCCCCACTGACTTCTTTTTCCTCAAGGCAAGTGTCAGAACATTTCTCTGTTGGGATATCAGTGTCCTCATGGGAAATTAAAACAACAGTCAGACACTATTTGCAAAACTGATGTTTTTTTCATTGCTTTACTACTGCTAAAGTGAGTTGGTAAGGGGTGAGAGGTATCTATATCTACTGGAAGTCTCATTTCAGGTGGAAGACTTCTACGTAACTCCAGAAGTTCCACTGCCAGTTTCAGAGAAGGAATAGAACTCATTGTTCTTTAGTCTTGTTGTGTTCAGAACCATTAAATATCCTTTGCCAGTCCTTTGTTAGCCTTCCCCCTATGTTTGGGTTCCACAATCATAGAAGTAATCTGTTCCCATTCAGAACAAATTTTCATTATTCATTGGTTTAATTGGGAATGATTTTAGACTATAATTCTGAACCTATTTTTGTGGGGGGAAATCCCACCAAGTTCTTTTAATAGATCTCAGTCATATTTTTTTCCTTAACGCCTCCAGGTTTCTTTATGAGCTCTCCCTGATTCCCAACTTCTCTGAACGAGCCTTTTGTATCCTGTTCCAATCAACATTCTCTGAAAGCATTTCCTCTCTCCGAAGCAAACTTGAATTGTTGCAGAAACTGTGTGAGGTAGGTTCTGGACCATCTGATGCAAGACCTAGATTGGCTGATATTTANTTGCTAGTTAGCCAACCAGCAACGGGCATGAAACTGTATGCAGATGGAGAAGGGCAATCACCCTTAATGGGCGATCAATGGTGAAGGGCAATCACCCTTAATGGGCGATCAATGGTGAAGGGCAATCACCCTTAATGGGTGATCAGGATATGCATAGGGGATTAAGGGGGGGGAATACAAAGAACACAACAAAGTCCATTTTGTAGTAACCGTAGATATTATTTTAAGACCACTCAAGGTTTTCTATTAGTTTTTTTTTGGCATCTTTTTTCAAAGTTGGTGGCGTCTTCATAGCATAGGGCTCGCCAGTGGCTTCTGTCTGCAGTTATAGTTGCCAGTTCCCTTGGTTGGATGTCACAGTGGTGTACAGTTTCTTTTACAACTTCTTGGTAGTACTTGAGTGGTTGACCTTGAGGTCTCTTCCCAGATTACAGTACACTATGCAGTAACTGGTGAAGCATACAGTCATTATCCACTCTGAATACGTGTCCACCCCTTCTCATCTGGGCTTTGATAATCAGTGTCTCAGTGCATAATACAAGACATTTAGGTTGAAAACACAGCCTTATTAACTAATGCCAAGGATAGACTGGGGAGCAAACCTGCTTCACACTTCAGACAAAGACATATAAATGGCCCTACAAAAAAGGGGGTCAGGCTTTGAACTATCACATCAGAAATGGACAACCCTGAATAGGATTTGTACCTCACACAGAGTCTGCTGGGACTCTCTGTATAAATGGGGCATAGTGTCCTCCCCTTAGTGTGACTGTGGGATCCCACATCAAATGGTAGGTCACATCATAATCAGCTGTAAGCTGAGGGTCTATATATCGGTCTAGTATTTGATTTTTTTTAATATAAACAATGTTGTGTTTCAATGGTTAGATGGCCTAGATGCTGATATTTGAACATAAATCTTTTTTAACATTTATATTTATTGGCTTCTACTATGTTAATATATATTGCTAGTCCATATATGATATGCCATGGGCTAAATAAATAAATGCAATTATGAACATGGTATCTTTGAGCTGTATGAAATAAATTTGTAATATCGGTCTCTTCGTGGGTCCTTAAAATATATCTGTTTTGGAAAATAATGAAAGATTGATTGGTGCAATTTAATTTCTTTAGATATGTTTATTAAGGCTTCTGACATTTCTGAGACTGTATTTATAACCAAACCTGGAGGAAAGGCATGGATAGATACTAATTTATAGAGATCCTGTTGGTTGATTGCATGGCATGTTATAGGGAATATGGAGCCACAGGATTTTTTTTTTCCTTTCTATTTTTTAGTATAAGCTGCCGAGAGCAGGGGTTCCCAACTTCTGGTGGCTGCCCAGTACTGAGCCATGGCCTGTTTAGGACTGGGCTACAGAAGTGGCAGGCAAGTGTGTGCATGCATGCACTCTACTTATGCAAGTAGTGGGCGAGCACGCACACAAAAAGCTTCATTTGTGTGTGAATAGCAGGTGCGCGTGCCCCCCACTTGCGTAAATGGAGCTGCGCATGCATGTGTGCTTGCCTGCCACTTGCATGGAACCATCCCCTCTCCCCCCCCTCCCTCACCAATCTACAAAACCAGAGAGTTTGGGGACCACTGGCTTAGAGTCATAGAGTTGGACAACATTTAAATCTAATAAATAAACATTTATAAACAAGTAATGAATGCCTTTTTGACCCAGGCCTCTAGGAAATCAGTAGACCTGTTATTTTGCTTACTCTGGAGACTTTCCAGGTCCATATACATTAGAAGCAATGCTGTCTGCCATTAGCCTGGATTTTCAATGATAACTTGCCTTTCTCTCCCATTATCATCCTGGGAACTCCTCTGCATGAATTAAAAAATAACAGGGAACTACAGAACCGAATAATATGTCTTTTTAAAGAACTATTTCATAGAGGGCATACCTTCTTTTTGCTTACACGTGTGCTGCTTATTCATTTTGTTCCAGATGGGGATTTGGGCAAGCGGTTCATTGTTCAGAAAGTTGCTTGATCTTTTGTAACTCTACTTTTGATTGGCTGCAGTAAATCTCAGAAAATCTAACAAGATTTGGACAGCCACTATAGAAACATGGATTTGCCAAAACATCCTCAAGCATTAATTTAGCATAATTTTTCCCATGTGGCCTGCAGCTCTTGGACCTCTCAATCTGGCAAAGTATCTCCTCCACCCCCACCCTTACCACTTCCCAGGATTGTGTCTTGCATGCTGATAGTTGCTGGCAGTGACATTTAGTACTTCGTGCAAGATTTTCAGTGTCTGATTTCTTTGTGAATAACTAATACATTGCTGTAACTATGCATATTTGGGAAAATAACACAGAGTCTTGCACAATTATTTTGCTCTAACACAGAGTCTTGCACAATTCAGAATATTTTATATTATATTAGAAATCTGACACTTCTATACCATAATGTTTTCAAATATTTTCTATTGGGTATGGTCGTGTTTTATTCAATTAGTTTTCATAAATAGACCCATTATCTCATTTGTTGTCTAATTATGAACATCGTCAAAGTCTACTACCACAGTTCCTACTTGTTCTTCAGCTTAGAATTAAAACTCAGTTGAAATATCCTTCTCAATTAGATGTTAGAAATCTGCTGTACAATATTAAATTGTGCAAAAACATTAAAGATTTTGCCACAGCTTCCTTTTTTAATGCATAAGTTACAAGGTTGATAGTTTAAGAGCTAGGGCTATGGTGAGAGCCCAAGCTATATGCCTGGATTTCAATTTCAGAAGGAAGGACATGTTTATATATAATCATTAAAGTTCTGTGAAGAAAATTCCATTTAGGAAAAATTCTTTGAAAATACTTCAGTCTTTAAAATAACAATCTCTGTCTCTCAAACCAACCCGTCTCACAGGAAAGGTGTTATTGTGGGAAAAACAGGAGGCAGGACCATTGTAGTATGCACATTGCTTTGAGCTGTACAAAAATAAAGGTGGGATGTAAATACATTAATAACATTTATTCTTTACCTAGAACAGAATACTGCTGAAAGAAAATAGCATCTCCTAATCATACCTGTAAAGCAGTCATTTTCAATTTGGTATATTACAGATGATAAGTTGTAGAATGCTTTAATGGAATTTTCATTGCATTGCTTTGATCTCAAAATAGATTTTTATGTAAAAATACATTTTGGTATCCTTTGTATACAGTTAGTTGGAGAGACAAAATCAAGTTATTAATAAAAAAGGCAATTAAGAATTACTGCAAAAATCATCCACTACAAGTTTGGACTCAAATTACCATGTCTATTTCTGTTTAAATGGTGCCCTCTAAACCTCCCATAACTAAAGTCATCTTGAGTGTGGATTGAAAATAATTATGCCTTTCTTTAAAAAGTTTTTCTCTCCCTTTTCTATTGAAAAAACAAAAAGTGGCTTTGTAGTTCACATATGCATCAGCTTAATCCATGCTCGAATAAAATGACTTATTGAAAATGTTTAATATCATAACTATGTAGGTTTTTATTTGGTGATAGATGTCTGAATAAACATTTCATGTCTAACATTATTTCATGAACTAAGTTTATTACATATTTATGTTAAATATTGAATACCTTTCTGTATAAATAATTAAAATAAATTGAAGTAATTATAATTGAATGGTTATAATTGAATTGTAAGCATTATTTAATTTCCTAGGTAATTATTTATGCATATGAGTATGTATTACTTCCATTCACAATTTTCTTTATATTTTTTAATCTTTTTTCAAGAGAGCACAATCTGATGAACTGGAAAAGATAGAAAAGCATGGCAAATCAAGTAAAGAAAAGGAGAATGCTAAATCTTTGGACAAACCTGAACAGTAAGGATACTATAAACCATCTACACTTGCTGGAAAGAGTCAAACTATTAACTTTTTAGTTCAGATTCAGATACAACACACATTGTTCTAATTGAAACAAATAATTAACCAGTTCAGTACATATAATAACCATGAGGTTCAGTTCCACTTTGTTTGAGAAAACTGGATTACGATGTCCTCGCGCTATTCTGGTGATTTGTATAATAGTGGTGTCCTCCTATTTTCCCAATTCTTCTTCCAGTAGATGAATTTACTACAAGTCCTTTGGTTTGTTTGCTCCTCCCCAGAAAGAACTATTTGCTTGTTCTTCATGAGAATAGGCTTAATTTGATCATTATCCCTGCTTAGCTATTTTTTCATAACCTTGATACTTCCTGGTCTCTTGCACATTCTTTGGATTTACATCTTAATCCCTACTTCAAATGTACTCCATTTAGCTTTGTACATGTGTGTGTGTGTGTGTGCATGTATAGTAACTGCACTTACAGACATAACATTCGATAGACACCAAATATATATTTGATGTCACTTTTCTTATAATGTTAATTCATATCCCGAGCTCCCTGATTATATGCTAAAAATATCATGTGAAATAGCTCAAATCTGCTCAGGATTTTTGTTAATGGAATATCCCAGGACATTTAGTATTGATTTATATTTTCAGGCAAAGATGTATGTATATGTACGCATATATGTGTGTACTTTTGCATTGACCAGTCCTCTATCAGGAGGGAGAAGTAAGATTTTGCAGCAATCTCTGATGACTGTCCCCATCTTCTTCAAGAAGAAGTATATAAACCTGTACAGACCCCAAGTATACTCATTTATCTTTTTATTTATTTATTTTCTACTGCTGATGAGTGAATCACATTCAATATCTGAACCAAAATTTTGAGCCCCAGTAACAGGATAGCAGTATTAGTCACTTTTTTGAGGACCTAAATCTTTTCAAGGGACTTGTATTTTAATAGATCTTCTCTTTCCCCACTGACTTCTTTTTCCTCAAGGCAAGTGTCAGAACATTTCTCTGTTGGGATATCAGTGTCCTCATGGGAAATTAAAACAACAGTCAGACACTATTTGCAAAACTGATGTTTTTTTCATTGCTTTACTACTGGCTAAAGTGAGTTGGTAAAGGGTGAGAGGTATCTATATCTACTGGAAGTCTCATTTCAGGTGGAAGACTTCTACGTAGCTCCAGAAGTTCCACTGCCAGTTTCAGAGAAGGAATGGAACTCATTGTTCTTTAGTCTTGTTGTGTTCAGAACCATTAAATATCCTTTGCCAGTCCTTTGTTAGCCTTCCCCCTATGTTTGGGTTCCACAATCATAGAGGTAATCTGTTCCCATTCAGAACAAATTTTCATTATTCATTGGTTTAATTGGGAATGATTTTAGACTATAATTCTGAACCTATTTTTGTGGGGGGAAATCCCACCAAGTTCTTTTAATAGATCTCAGTCATATTTTTTTTCCTTAACGCCTCCAGGTTTCTTTATGAGCTCTCCCTGATTCCCAACTTCTCTGAACGAGCCTTTTGTATCCTGTTCCAATCAACATTCTCTGAAAGCATTTCCTCTCTCCGAAGCAAACTTGAATTGTTGCAGAAACTGTGTGAGGTAGGTTCTGGACCATCTGATGCAAGACCTAGATTGGCTGATATTTANTTTTTTTCCTTAACGCCTCCAGGTTTCTTTATGAGCTCTCCCTGATTCCCAACTTCTCTGAACGAGCCTTTTGTATCCTGTTCCAATCAACATTCTCTGAAAGCATTTCCTCTCTCCGAAGCAAACTTGAATTGTTGCAGAAACTGTGTGAGGTAGGTTCTGGACCATCTGATGCAAGACCTAGATTGGCTGATATTTAATCTTCCTTATTCAACAATACTCATATTTCAAAAGTTTTATTTATTTTACATGCTCATTAAATGTGAAGGATAGCAGTCCTGCTGAATGGAACATTTTATGATTGTGCTTCAAGATCAAAGTAAATCTTAAGATTTGGCTTTCAGTGCTGAAGTATAACACCACAAGTCTATAGCCAATGCACATCAACCTCTAGAGAATAATATACCTTCTTCCTGTGCCAAAGCAAAATCTTCGCTCTTTGTAACAGACACTGGCTTCCCTTCAGTATTTCCAAACAAACACACATTGACTTTTTTCTTTTAGAAGTTCCTTTGTTTCTGTAATAATATCTAATAATCAGCCCATTGTAATTTTGACAGCATTGGCAATAGCAGCAATCTCCCACACTTAGCTTTATAACAATTAACAAATATTAGCTAATATTACATAGGCTATATAATCTTGAAGATATTGCTATAAATTCAAGATTCTTCTTCAGTCTCAACAAATCATAGTTGCTGCAAAGATGATTTTGAAACTATTGTGGGAGGAGGGTATATATAACACTCCCCCCTTTTTTCTCAATACTCTCAGCTCCATGTGAGGCTTTCATAGCTGTAATTCTCCACGGGAAAAAGTCTACAGGGCAATGATGGATTGCTTAAAAATGTTCAGTTAAAGACATGTTCCTCAGGAGACTTAATAATTTCTCAGTCATCAAACTTCATTGCCTTTTTACAAAGCTTGCGACATGCTAGCTTGCAGCCTGTTCTGCTGCCACTGCTGTTATGCTGGAACCAGTTTCCTCCTATTTAAGGCTTTCTGCTTATGTGGTTGCAGCCAATCAGAGGTCAATCCATTGATGAACTTTTTGCTGCCATTGTCTCATATAGTCCATGGAATTTAACTGGAAGCAATATCACTAAGGGAATAGAAATTCCTTTGCATTTAGTGGTGGGATTCAGCAGGTTCACACCACTTCGGCAGAATCAGTAGCTAATTTTTTGTTGCCCAGGCCCAGAATGGACTTTCGGAAGCAGTATCCACACAGAGGACTGGTGGTTCACATATTTGAATCCCACCACTGCTTGCATTGTATTCCATCTGAAATTTTCATTGGAACCCATCTATATGGCCCTCCCCCAAATATTTAATCCATTATTATCAATTTTAATGGAATGGGAATAATATGCAGAGCAGTAGAGTATCTACTTTGCTAGGTAATTGAGTCAATGTTTCCCATTTATGTATTTATTTCTATCCCACTTTTTCTTGAAGGAGAATATGAGGCTATCCAACTTTTTATCCTCATACTGTTAACAATATAACCATTTGTTCTTTTTTTTAAAAAAAAAAGTGTACTTTTTGCTCATCAGGCTTTTCATAGCTGTCAAGAATTCCTATGCCTTAAGGAAAGGATAGATCTGTGCCCCCTTTGTTACAAAGCTCTGTAATTTTCACATTTGCCAAATCACGAATATACTTTATAAAGTTTAATTTGAATAGTTTAATTACGCCAGATGCCTTCTTCCATTCAGAAATGTTTGCACTGATTATAGGGCTCAGCCTGCATGGTTCTTTCAAGTATTTCAGTGCCAGGAGGATTAACTCATTCTCCTACAACTGCTGCTTGTCTCTGTTCCACTGTCTACTTAGTAGTTTTAGGAGGTTGGTGTATGGGAAAGGCCTTGGGAGACTCGGCCAAGAGATCCTCCTAAGGGAACAGTTGAATAAGAGACAGCATGACCTACAACTGGATAGTGGGATGGGCAACAGGCTCAGAAAGGTTCCTCCCTTACTTTCTTGGGTTGTAAAGGAAGCAGGGGGAAAGGTTGCAAGATTGATGTTGGTCTCCCGGAGTAAACCAGATGGGAATCACAACCAGATGAGCTAATTATACTTTATGGTAAAGCCAAACTGACAGAATCTTTCAAGTCTGAAAGTACATCTCTCTTCCCTCTCCCATCTGCTTTATAACCCAAGCAACCTAGGAAGGTTTCTTCTGAATCTTTTGCTTCACCCATGTCCAGTTGTGAGCTGTGCTGTCTCTTATCTGATTGTTCCCTAGGCAGCATCTCTTGGCTCTGCCTCCAAAGTTCTTCCCCAACACCATTACATTTAGTTAGTGCAGCACTTCCTGTGTCTCTTGTATGACGGTTTCATGTCAAGTGATTATTGTGTTGAATCTGGGCCCAGCTTATCATGCTAGAATTGTTCAATATTAAAGAAATTTGAGCAAGCTTTGGCAAAAATTGACAAGTACCTGAACTTGAATATCTCTTACTCCAAACTATACGTCAATATTTTGTTTCTATTCC